TGATGAGGCTGGGGTATAGTGGTGATGAGGCTGGGTGCTAGGGAGGTGATGGTGATGAGGCAGGGTGATGGGGGATGGTGGGGGTGAGGTTGGGTGCTCGTGGAATGGTGGTGATGAGGCTGGGTGCTCGGGGGATGGTGATGATGAGACTGGGTGCTCATGGGATGGTGGTGATGAGGCTGGGGGATGGTGGTGATGACGCAGAGTGGTGGGAGATAGTGGTGATGAGGCTGGATGCTGGGGGAATGGTGGTGATGAGGCTGGGTGATGGGGGATGGTGGTGATGAGGCTGGGTGCTGGGGGATGGTAGTGATGAGGCTGGGTGCTGGGGTATGGTGGTGATGAGGCTGCGTGCTCGGGGGATGCTGGTGATGAGGCAGAGTGCTAGGGGATGGTGGTGATGAGGCAGAGTGCTGGGGATGGTGGTGATGAGGCAGAGTGCTGGGGGATGGTGGTGATGAGGCTGGGTGGTGGGAGATAGAGGTGATGAGGCTGGGTGCTTGGGGAATGGTGTTGATGAGGCTGGATGCTCGGCGGATTGTGGTGATGAGGCTGGGTGCTCAGGGGGGATGGTAGTGATGAGGCTGGGTTGTGAGGGTATGGTGGTGGTGAGGCTGAGTGCTCGACGGATGGTGGTGATGAGGCTGGGTGGTGGGAGATAGAGGTGATGAGGCTGGGTGGTGGGAGATAGAGGTGATGAGGCTGGGTGCTTGGGGAATGGTGGGATATGTGAATAACTTATTGTTTTCATGGAACATTCAGTGGACCACCGGGCATGGTCCCTGGCGCCACACGTTCTCATATTACATATTAAGCAATATGTATGTAACCTACATATTTCTGCGTCTGGATGGGGACATGAGTGGTGTTAGAAGATTCAGATTGCCTGAATGAGATGTGACTAACTGATGTGGCGTTCTCTGCTCTGCCATGGATATCAATATCATAAGAGAACGTGTCTGATTATCATGGATATGAATAACAGATCATGAAGATTCTCTTCGATGTGAATAATTCAGCATCTCCAAATCACTCTCTTTAATTTGGGAATACTCGGTCACGTTATGTCCAGAATAAATGAGATGTCCCGGAAGGTAGAGATGAAGATCCTGCTGGATGATATGTAACAAACTAGGCTGGTTGTAAGAATTATTCAGAATGTTTTATCTACAAGGGAGAATGGGAAGCTGGACCCGCGTGGTGACCCGGGACCTGACCCCTGGGAATTCGCGGTGAAAATAATTGACGCCTTATTCAGAGTTTTGTATAATGAACCATTCTATAGTATTCACTTATTTAGAGAAATTAGCCTTTATTCATTTTGTATTAAAATGGTATTGTATAATATTCCTGGTTATAGTACCAAGAGTATTCTAATTATTAGGAGACTTGAGTTAAGTCACCATCAGTGACGTCGCGAACCAGATCTAAGTTGTTAGGCGGAGTGACCGGCGGTCATAGGTCATCAGAGTTGACATGTCCACTATTTCTCAAAGGTCAAATAGCCATTTGGTGATCGGGAACAGCTCTGCCGTTAGATGCTTGTGTAATTTAACTTCAGTAAAATAATTCAACCAATCTGGATCAATTAAGTACAACAGAGGTTAATTGTTATAACTTAAACCTTGCTAAGTAACTTGGTAAACGAAGCGGAACAATACAATGCTCTAGTCTGGGGAAGACCAGAGAGAGGACAGTTAGTGTGGTTTGAGAAACAACTCGGGCAGGTGGCCTTACCATCATCGGCCTCCCGACAGCACGAACATCTAGCTGCTCGCCCAAGGTAGAGTTGCTTTATGAGTTCTTATAGGGATAGTCAATTCATTGCCAAGTAGGGAGTGGTAGATTGATAGGGAATGCACACATTTAGATTTTGTTTTAGTTTTTCTTTTAATAAATTAATAGCTAGTAAATTTGCATTTTTATTATTTCCATGTGTTTGTTATATGTATATGAATTGGTCCTCGTCACGTGGTCCACACGAGGCAGAGTTGAATTGATCGCCAATTCTAACATCGAATCGGAATTCATCATTCCCGTTTAATTAATTCCACACTCAAGTTCCAAGATCATCGGTTATAGTGGGGATCAAGCCCCAAGGTTGATTAATTAGCATGATCGATCCAGGCCTCGATCATTGCTCTGTGTTACTGGTCTGGTGGTGGCGGCGGAGGCGACTCTAGAGTTTTGCTCGAAGCCTATGTCACGTCATACGGGTTGTAGAATCCTAAGTCGGTCAATCGTCTTAGGACCACGTGGCGTGGAGTCGGCTTTAGTAAAAGTTTTGGAGTCCCTTGTAGTGAATAAAAAGTAAGAATACGGGTAGAGGGGGAAAAAGCAGGAAAGAACATTACGAGAACACCCTTCCCGTGTTACAGATATATGCTACCTTGAGACGCGAAGGAAGGTCACTGCCAAAGGAAGGTCACCACTAAAGGTATCCTTGGTCACTACCAAGGATACATTCTAAGCAGAGCTTCTGGCGGATGGAGGAAAGACTGGTGGTAACCACAGAAGCACAATACTGTCGCCTGAGCTAAGAGCGGCAGCTAAGAAGCTTCGTGAGAACAAGGAAATACTTGTCACAAGAGGTCATAAATCGCTAATATATTATGCTTATAAAGAATGAATATATGGAGAAAATAAACCTCATCCTTTCTGATTAAACTAAATTTAAAAGGATCACTAGGGACACTACAGCCGAGCTAAAAACAAAGGTAAACAGATTGGTTGGAACTGTTAATGACAAAATGTCTGGACTTCACCTGCCGGAAGCTACTGGAGAGTACAAATTTGAATATACATATGAGACTACAAGACCTGCAAACCTGGAAACCCACTTCATCCCATCATCAGCCAGGAGGGACAAGAAACCGGAGCTGCAGTTAAAGTAGGAAACTCTGTAAATAGTTGGAGATTCTCAAATGGGTGTTCGACTTTACAGAGATGCTAGCCATTCAAAAGGCTTTGGAACATGCTCTTGCTGAATACCGACAACATGTTATCATACATACAGATTCGAGAACCACCATTGAAACCTTGCAACAAGAACACATATGTGATAACATACATCTGATCACAAATGTCATATCATTAATGCAAACACTCAAACGACAAGGCCGGCGGGTACTTATCAACTGGGTGCCAAGTCATGTGGGAATAATAGGAAATGACATTGCAGACGAAGCTGCAAAACTTGCAACTAAGAGAAGAAATGTAGACATTTACATACATACAGCAATGTAAAAGATGTACAGTGACCACAACACAGCAGTTGCAACATCAGGATCTGTGGGTTGGTACAAGAATTCAACCAACTCTGAGACACTTAGTTTGATGAAAGGGAGCAGTAGAGCAACAGAAGTACACTTACATCGCATCAGGCTTGGATATCCATGTGCATGGGAAATAGGCTTACAGGTTCCGGAAGATGAGAGGAAATGTCAACACTGTGGAGAAATGCTCGACAGACCACTGGAACATTATCTAACACAGTGCACAGTTACAAACCCATTAAGACTTCAACTTAGATTCAACAGAGCAGAAGTTGTTAAACACATATGGCAAAATCTTACTGAAGCGACCATACGAGTCATAAATACTCATACTCCGCCCAAGTAAAACAGAAACAAGCAACACTTAGTGGGCCAGCCAGAGGCTTAGGGCCCGCGCAGGAATGTCCATGCAAAAAAAAAAAAAAAATCAGCCAGTGACCAACGCCCACGTACAGACTGGCTAAGCGACTCAACTCCATAGTAACTCCATACCTGCCACAATTTCAGCCATAGGTCTCCACGGAAATTTGTTGACTTATTGCCGGGGGACGCAGGCATCAGGAGTGAGAACGTCTCTTGATATAGAGTAGCTGTTCACCAATGTGCCCGTAGATGAGACTATTGAAATTATGATGGACAGAGTTCATCGAGTCCTTATGGGCGCATGTGTAAGCAAGTAGACGGCATTGCTATGGGGTCCCACTTGGAGTCCTATTTGCTAATTTTTACGTGGGTACCGTTGAACAGAAAGTCCTCGTTGACATGGGCCTAAAGTCGACTGTATACTGTAGATTTGCAGACGATATATTTCTGCAGGTACCTGATATTGAGCACTTGCTGCTGCTTAAGGATGCATTCGAACGAAGTTCAATGCTAAGGTTCCCTTGCGAGATTGAGAGTGGAGGAAGACTACCTTTCCTAGATGTAATAGTCTGGGAAAGGAATGGTGGCTTTAACACTGCAGTTTATACTAAGGGGACCACCATGGGAATGTGCTTTATTAATGCTAAACGTGAGTGCCCTGATAGGTACAAGCGGAGTGTTGTCAATGCCTACGTCAACCGTGTCCTCACACACAGCTCCAATAGGAAGCAGGTCGACGAGGAACTCGGTAGAGTAAGGCAGGTCCTGACCATTAATGGATACTTTAATGGATATGTCTAGGAAATCATCAAAAGGAAGGTTAGGCACCATGCGACTTCAGATACAACAGATAACAACGGTTGTACAACCCTGTACAACTTTTGTACAACCCTGTATCACCAATGTTAAAATAAATACAAAGTTTCAGAAAGGATTTTATTATGAACTCTTTACTGTATGTACTTTCATGTGGTATAGACTCCAGGCTGGATCTGTATACTTCAGGATTGGTCTGATATATGTGATATACAAGATTTTGAATGATTCCTTACACAGATTTCTAAAGGCAGTTCTTATGTAAGCCAGCCTTACGTACGCCGCTGATGATATTCTTTTGATGTTATGAACTCTGAATTATATTATGAACTCTTTACTGTGTGCACATTTATGTTATACCTAATAAATTCCCTGTAACCTACCTTACCCCTCTATTGTCAACCAATGTCTGTTTTTTTTTAAAGAGAACTGTTTGTCGACAGAATTGTATTTGTGCTGCTTTTTCAGCTATGTTTTTATTCCATGTTTTCATTTTACTCTTTATGCTCAATTAGTATTAAGCTTTAGTCATTTAAGTTTTTCATGCCCGAAATGCTTTGCTTTAGGCATTGTATGTACTAGCCCTATCTATAAATCCATCACTCTTTGTAAAATCTCTTGTATGTATGTACCTTACCTAAATAAACATTTGATTTGATTTGATTTGATGTGTTTTATTATGAACTCTTTACTGTGTGCACTCTCATGTGTTTTATTATGAACTCTTTACTGTGCACACTCATGTGATTTATTGTGAACTCTTTACTGTATTCACCTAATTGGTGAGTACAGTAAAGAGTTCACAATAAATCACATGAGTGTGCACAGTAAAGAGTTCATAATAAAAAACACTCATGTGTTTTATTATGAACTCTTTACTGTGTGCACACTCATATGTATTATTATGAACTCTTTACTGTGTGTGTACTCTCATGTGTTTTATTAGAGTTGATTTTTGGGAAAAGTGTTTTAAACACTTTAAACATTGATACGGTTTTTCGCCAGTATGAACTCTCATATGTTGTATAAGATGTGAGGTCACAGAAAAGTTTCTTGAACACTGTGAACATTTATAAGGCTTCTCTCCTGTATGAATTCTCGTGTGTTTTGTTAAAGTTGATTTATGGGAAAATTCTTTAAGGCACACTAAGCACTGGTATGGTTTTTCTCCTGTGTGAACTCTCATGTGTAGTATTAAATGAGATTTCCCAGAAAAACATTTTGAACATAATGAACAGTGATATGGTTTCTCCCCTGTGTGAATTCTAATGTGTTGTACTAGATGTGATTTTTGAGAAAAGTCTTTTAGGCACTCAGAACACTGATATGGTTTTTCTCCTGTGTGAATTCGCATATGTTTTATAATATCAGATTTTTTAGGAAAGTCTTTCGAGCACTCAGAACATTGATATATTTTTTCTCCTGTGTGAACTTTCATATGCTTGACGAGATGGGACTTTATATTAAAGTGTTTTGTACACTCTGAACAGTGATATGGTTTCTCTCCTGTGTGAACTTTCATGTGTTGCACAAGATGTGACTTTTGGGAAAAATCTTTAGAGCACGTTGAACATTGAAATGGTTTCTCTCCTGAATGAACTCTCGAGTGTTTTATTAAATTTGACTTTTCAGAAAATTCTTTTGAACAATATGAACATTGGTACGGTTTTTCACCTGTGTGAACTTTAAGGTGTCGCAACAGATGAGATTTATCGTAAAAGTCTTTTAAACACACTGAACACTGATTTAGTTTGTATTCCGAATGATCTGTCATATGCTTTATTAAATGTGATTTTCTTGGAAATTCTTTTGAACATACTGAACACTGATATAGTTTTTCTTCTGCATGAACTCTCCTGTGTTGCATTAGATTTGATTTTTGGGAAAAGTCCTTAAGACACATTAAACATTTATATGGTTTTTCTCCTGTGTGAACTCTAATGTGTTGTATTAAATACGACTTTTGGGAAAAGTTCTTATGACACACCAAACATTCATAGGGTTTTTCTCCAGAATGAATTCTTATGTGTTGTATTAGGTAAGATTTTTGGGCAAAATTTTTAAGGCACGTTGAACACTGATATGGTTTAACACCTGAATGAACTCTTGAGTGTCGTATTAGGTATGACTTATCAGAAAACTTTTTTGAACATTCTAAGCACTGATAAGGTCTCTCTCCAGTATGCACTCGCATGTGTGAGTTTAGAAGTGACTTATCATAAAAGCATTTTGAACAAACTGAACACTGATATGGTTTCTCTCGTCTATGAACTCTCATGTGTCGTATTAGGTGTGATTTTTGGGAAAAATCTTTTAGACACTTTGTACAATGATACGGTTTCTCTCCTGAATGAATTCTCATATGTTTCACTACAGATGATTTATAGGCAAATTTTTTTAGACACTCTGTACAGTGATATGGTTTCTCTCCTGTATGAACTTTCATGTGTCGTATTAAATGGGCTTTTTCATAAAATTCTTTTGAACATTCAGAGCATTGATATGATTTCTTTTTCACATGAACTTTCATATGTTGTATTAGAAAAGACTTTTCGTCAAAATCTTTTAAACATTGCGAACACTGATATGACTCCTCATCTTTGTCATCTTCCATGATTTATCAACATGGATGCTATTTAATTTCTTTTAGAGACAATGCCGAGAGTTTCTCGTGAGAACTCACTTATTTTCTATTAGTTGACCATGACAAAAAATAAATATTATCAACACAAATAGTTGTATATCATATTTCATCATGTATATTAATTATGAGGAATAGTTATTCTTCATCCAGTTAGTTTCATCAGCAACATAGTTTTATTATATATTTTTATAAATAAAATAATCAGTCACTGATGGAAGTTTGCTACGCCAAGGCCTCTTATGTTTTAATTATCACTTATAATAGGAACAATCTCTACGAAACAACTTTATTACAGATTTTATCGTTCTGTTAATCTAGTTTGACTGTATTATCTCTCTGAATTTTATTTTACAAAATGAAGTCTTCCCAATAGTCTACTTATATTATACATTTTGTCAAGCACTCTACTAACATTTTAATATATTCCTCTTAATCTACTTACATTTTACTTGGTGAAATCCTTAAGCTAGGAAATATAATCCCACATGACACAAATGTAGTATCTATATGAAATACTTCTACGATATTGAGCACAGTTTAGTTACTATTTGAAATTGTTCACAGGAAATATAGACTCAGTGAACCTGCATTATGCCCTGTATAGGCCCTGGCGACACTGTGCATCATTATGCTGAGTACAGAGCCTGGCAACACTGTACGTCACTATGCTGAGTACAGAGCCTGGCAACACTGTACGTCACTATGCTGAGTACAGAGCCTGGCAACACTGTACGTCACTATGCTGAGTACAGAGCCTGGCAACACTGTACGTCACTATGCTGAGTACAGAGCCTGGCAACACTGTACATTCGGGGTTGTTGCATAAAGCACAAGTAGTGCACTAAAGTTGTAATTATTTTAATCAATAGGCCTTAATATGGCACTTTTCTATGAATGATCTCACAATTCACTTCAGACTTTCATCTCTTGCCATCCATGTTTCAAGTTGTCAAGACCACCGCAAGCACTTAATACAGTTGTGAACCAGAGTGTGGCACATCAAGGTACAACGATAAGGGACTACGTCAAGTGGGGACATTATTTACATAATACAACAAAATTACTTCACTCAGTTCTTGAATGAGATGCCTTTATTACATTGTGCATCAGATTTATATACAAAATTAAGTAGTCTTCACAATGTAAAATGTTGTATTGTGTTTCTTAATTAATACCTCTGCGTTGTTCTCAGGGCTCGACCGTCTTCACAATGTTGACATACGTCCACACTATATTGACTATGCATGCTCAGCATGACATGCCCCCACCCTATATTATACATGTTCAGTATGATACACTGCAACCCTATACTAACTATACATGTTCAGAATGAGAAACCCTCACCTTATTGACTATACATGCTCAGAACTAGAAGTGCATGAATAATCTTTTTAGAAATGTGCAATAATGCTGGACATCAATATGTGCAAGAATGAAGTAACGCGTAAAGGCAGTTATGGACGTGGTAGCCAGGATGCTGAGGCGCGCTGCAGCATGTTAAGTGTTGGCTCTGATGACGTTATATTACAGCCAAGATGTTGAGGCTCGCTGCAGCATTTTAAGTGTTGGCTCTGAGGACGTTATATTACAGCCAGGATGTTGAGGCGCGCTGCAGCATGTTAAGTGTTAGCTCTGAGGACGTTATATTACAGCCAGGATGTTGGGGCGCGCTGCAGCATGTTAAGTGTTAGCCCAGAGGATGTCATCCACATATTGTTGACACAATGTGTTTACAGTATTTCTGACAAAACGTGGCCCATGTGGTCTTGGGTGTTGACACTCCACGAACTATGTAGACCTGGGTGTTAACACATGGACCAAGTGTTCCTGGTGTTGACACTATGGTGACACAGGAACTGTAAAAAAAATTGAGATATTAAGTTTTATGTAAGTATTCTGTAATATTTTAAAGCTTTATATTTTAGTTAAAAGGTATTTCACATGTCTAGACATTACGAAGTATGTGGTCTATCACATACAAGGCACATGACTATACACATTAGGAAGTAGATGTTCTAACACATATGTCGGAAATTACGACACTAAATATTAACATACTAAAATTAGTTAGTCATAAAGGATTACAGAAAACGAGAAATTTTAAATAATTGACATCAAAACAATTATTTAAGCACAATTAGTATCCTTTAAACTAACAGTCTAGTGATTAAACTTAATAAAACAGTATTCTAAATGACTGGATCAAATATATATATCAATAAAACTAAAGTCTAGCTCCCTAAGTCAATAAGTCAGAAATAGAACAACATTTCTGGCCAGATTCACGCAGCAGTTACGCAAGCACTTACGAACTTGGGGTCAGATTCACGAAGCAGGTACCTGAGTATTTACGAACGTGTACACCTTTCCTCAATCTTCGACGGCTTTGGTTACATTTATTAAACAGTTCACAACTGTGAAAACCTTCTAATCAACTGTTGTTATTGTTATAAACAACCTCCTGGTGCTTCGAAGCTCATTAACTGTGTAATAATTGTAAACAAAGCCGCCAAAGATTGAGAAAATATGTAAAGGTTAGTAAGTGATTTCGTAACAGCTTCGTGAATCTGGCCCCTGTACATCTGTTCTCAATCTTTGGAGGCTTTGTTAACAATTATTAGACAGTTAATGAGCTCCGATGCACCAGGAGGCTATTCATAACAATAACAACAGTTTATTGGGTAGTTTTCATGCTTGTAAAATGTTTAATAAAAGCAACTAAAGCCGTCAAAGATTGAAGAAAGATGTATACGTTCGTAAGTACTTGCGTAACTGCTTCGTGAATCTGGCTCTCCGAGACGCCGCTCCCAGGAAGGATTCAGCTGGCTAGATTGTATGTAAACATAGGCTTTCAGAGAGAGGTCGGTACTATGCAACACTACAAAGATCTCAAATATAGATCGCCCATCAATGATTTTACCACAACGACCTAATCTATCAACCAGGGAAGACATAATATCCATACAGTATACTAAGTGCTTTGTAGAGCTGTTATTTCATTGTATAATTTTGCTTATATGATTATGCTGCATGAGAGCACCAAACAATGGTGAGCCTGGTTTTACCAATAACATAATCCCCATTATTAAACGTCATATTTTATTGACTATATTGTTGTGCAATTGTTACGGTGTAAATATTCGGCAGGTAACCTTTGACGAACTGAAGATAATCACAGAAAGCTGTTAACACCTACAAAATACTGTACAGATACTAGCTCTAACAAGGACCAACAGCTGCCATTAATTCAAGTCCAGGACGGACCTCATGTGGCAAACCATAGTCTGATGTAGGAAGACCAGCTCTCACACTAGCAACCAGACAGCTGAGACCAATATCTAATTAATATATTTTAGCTGTAATACGAACCCATTTAAATAGTAGAACCTTATTCAGTAGTTTATTTGATTAATAAGCTATGTATGTAACACCCCCCATACTTGTGATCAGGAAAACGCCTAGCAGGATAACTTTTAAATATACAGTCCACTTTGAAGTAATACTAATAAATTAAAGTAAATTCAATATATCAATAATTCAATATAAGTAAATTAAAGAACAATTAAATGCCTGCTAGGAAAATACTACACACACACACACACACACACACACACACACACACACACACACACACACACACACACACACACATATATATATATATATATATATATATATATATATATATATATATATATAAATATACATATATATGCAGAATAACCACATATGAAAAAAAGAAAATGCTTAACGCGTTTTCGGCTAATTCGCCTTCATCAGAGCAAAGTAGAATCAAGTCGAAGTAGAAGTAGTAGATGAAGGCGAATTAGCCGAAAACGCGTTAAGCATTTTCTATTTTTCATATGTGGTTATTCTGCATACTTGGATCAGTGTTTTTGTGATCATTCTTGCATATATATATATATATATATATATATATATATATATATATATATATATATATATATATATATATATATATATATATATATATATATATTATTAAATATGACCGAAAAAGTAAGATTAATAATTCTAACACGAATTTTCTCAATCTTTCGTACATTACGCTTCACTGTTGGAGGTAAATCAAAAATTAATTCTCCAAAATTCATTTTTATTTCTAGTCTGACGCGACACGGGCGCGTTTCGTAAAACTTATTACATTTTCAAAGACTTTAGTTCACAAATACACAACTGAATAGAACTTACGTATCTCCGATTTTATATCTACATTTGAGTGAGGTGGGAGGGGTGATGTGGCATTAACACAAGACAGAACAAGAGGGGATATTAATAGGGTATTAAAAGTATCAACACAAGACAGAACACAAACAATGGGTATTGAATAGAAGTGTTTGTAGAAAGCCTATTGGTCCATATTTCTTGATGCTTCTATATTGGAGCGGAGTCTTGAGGTGGGTAGAATATAGTTGTGCAATAATTGGCTGTTGATTGCTGGTGTTGACTTCTTGATGTGTAGTGCCTCGCAAACGTCAAGCCGCCTGCTATCGCTGTATCTATCGATGATTTCTGTGTTGTTTACTAGGATTTCTCTGGCGATGGTTTGGTTGTGGGAAGAGATTATATGTTCCTTAATGGAGCCCTGTTGCTTATGCATCGTTAAACGCCTAGAAAGAGATGTTGTTGTCTTGCCTATATACTGGGTTTTTTGGAGCTTACAGTCCCCAAGTGGGCATTTGAAGGCATAGACAACGTTAGTCTCTTTTAAAGCGTTCTGTTTTGTGTCTGGAGAGTTTCTCATGAGTAGGCTGGCCGTTCTTCTGGTTTTATAGTAAATCGTCAGTTGCATCCTCTGATTTTTGTCTGTAGGGATAACGTTTCTATTAACAATATCTTTCAGGACCCTTTCCTCCGTTTTATGAGTTGTGGAAAAGAAGTTCCTGTAAAATAGTCTAATAGGGGGTATAGGTGTTGTGTTAGTTGTCTCTTCAGAGGTTGCATGACTTTTCACTTTCCTTCTTATGCAACCTCTGAAGAGACAACTAACACAACACCTATACCCCCTATTAGACTATTTTACAGGAATATATATATATATATATATATATATATATATATATATATATATATATATATATATATATATATATATATATATATATATATATGCGAACAAGCCTGAATGGTCCCCAGGACAATATGCAACTGAAAACTCACACCCCAGAAGTGACTCGAACCCATACTCCCAGAAGCAACGCAACTGGTATGTACAAGACGCCTTAATCTACTTGACCATCACGACCGGACATAATGAGGTGATAGTCGAGGCTATTTGAACCACCCCACCGGTTATATATATATATATATATATATATATATATATATATATATATATATATATATATATATATATATACATATATATATATATATATATATATATATATATATATATATATATATATATATATATATATATATATATATATATATATATATATATATATATATATATATATATATATATATATATATATATATATATATATATATATATATTGGTGTATACTGGCAGCAGGTTTTCTTTCAAACATGTTTCATTGAATATGACCGCATATTCTGTATTTATTATTTTCTGGTTTAGGGCTTCTATCCCTCTAACTATTTTCTTAGCATCAGGGCTTAATTGGAATAGGAGTTCTCCAAAACTCATTTTCGTACTTTTAAGGTGAAGAAAAGAAGTGATTTACTATAGAGTGTATTACACTTATTTGTATAATTTGCACGACGTTTCGAACCGAGGTTCGAAACGTCGTGCAAATTATACAAATAAGTGTAATACACTCTATAGTAAATCACTTCTTTTCTTCACCTTAAAAGTACGAAAATGAGTTTTGGAGAACTCCTATTCCAATTAAGCCCTGATGCTAAGAAAATAGTTAGAGGGATAGAAGCCCTAAACCAGAAAATAATAAATACAGAATATGCGGTCATATTCAATGAAACATATATATATATATATATATATATATATATATATATATATATATATATATATATATATATATATATATATATATATATATATATATATATGTGTGTATATCATCAAAATAAACACGTGATTTAAAAATGTGACAATGTCAGACCACGGAGGAAAAATGAAACAGGAATTTCCTTAAGTACTTTCGTATATTAATACATCTTCAGAAGGAGACTTCTTCTGAAGATGTATTAATATACGAAAGTACTTAAGGAAATTCCTGTTTCATTTTTCCTCCGTGGTCTGACATTGTCTCATATATATATATATATATATATATATATATATATATATATATATATATATATATATATATATATATATATATATATATAAGCCTATACTTGCATAAACCACAAGTGAAGATAAACAATCTTTGGACAACACCCACCAGTGGGACTCGAACCCAGAAAGCACAACTACCTTCCAGTAGCTGGCATAACTAGTATGCTTTAACCCACTACGCCATCAGACCTTACAAAAGAAGTAGATAGTTCGAGATATATATATCTCAAACATCTCTACCTCCCGAAGGCACCAGATGAGTGAGGGGTCAGTCTGCAATTTTCGTCAAGCCACTGTCAATGTGAGAGAACTCGTGTCCAGCTTATAAGCCTATACTTGCATAAACCACAAGTGAAGATAAACAATCTTTGGACAACACCCACCAGTGGGACTCGAACCCAGAAAGCACAACTACCTTCCAGTAGCTGGCATAACTAGTATGCTTTAACCCACTACGCCATCAGACCTTACAAAAGAAGTAGATAGTTCGAGATATATATATCTCAAACATCTCTACCTCCCGAAGGCACCAGATGAGTGAGGGGTCAGTCTGCAATTTTCGTC